AAAGCTTTAATGTTAGGTATGGAGCAAGTACTCATAAAAGGCAAAGTTTGTATCATGAACTCACAGTGGGATTTCACACTGAAAAGGAAATATTTCATGCTAGGCTCATTGTATGTACCTCTTATTTTTACACACCATTATGCAGATGTTTCTGGATTTACAGACTTTGTCAAGGCAATTCATCCTTCCAAATACCCTGAAGACTTTGTTCTTGCAAAGCTGTGGTTTCTGTCATTTAATTGCTCAGATTCTGAATCTGACTGTATAACATGGGACAACTGTGCTCATGATGCTTCTTTGGATTGGTTGCCTGGGCATATTTTTGACATGACTATGTCTGGAGACAGTTACAATGTATACAATGCTATATACTCTGTGGCCCAGGCTCTCCATGAGCTGCTTCTTCATCAAATAGAAGTTCAAGCACTGGGAAATAGAAAAGAAACAGTGCCTTCCCCAGTACAAGTAATGTCTTCTGTGTTAGAGGGAACACACGCTGAGGACTGACACTTTCTAGAGGGTTTTTTTTACTGTAGGAAATTAAATATTTCTGTAAGTATGCATATTTGTGTATAAAAAGGAATATATGTATACATATACACACATTCATATATGTGTTTGTAAACATGTCATAGATATCTTGGTTGTTACTAGTAATGAATATATATATTTGTATTGGAAGCAATTGTCTCAAATATTAAGCTTTCTCCTTTTTATTAACAGAAACTATTGTAAACACAAAATTGAATATAGATTAATGTTAAAAAATTAAATATTTCAGGTGCTTTTCAAAACCCTAGGAAATGCTTTATGTTTAAAGGGCTATGAGGAACTGTGTACATGTGTGCATATGCCCTTAGGGAAACAACAGGCCAGTAACATGGATAAAAATATTCTGTATTTCAATACAAGTTTTTTTGTCCGTTTAGGGGATTGAACTCAGGATCTGGGCTATGTCCCTGAGTCTATTTGTGCTCAAGGTTACTGCTCAACCACTTAAGCATAGCACTACTTCCAGCATCTTCTTAATAGTTTATGGGAACAAGTTTTTCAAGGGCTTTCCTGTCCCAGCTGGCTTCATAGTGAGATAGTCTGATCTGTGCCCCTTGGCTAGCAAGGAAGACATTCTTGAGCCACCAGCATACTTCTTGTTAATTCCTTTAGTTACCAATAATCTCAACATGTCAATAGCTAGTGCTTTGAAAATTATAAATTCAGTTTTTCCCTATGAATTTCTTCAGTCATATCAAAAGATGACCAGCTGGACAGAATTATTCATATTTTTCATAAGTGACTTAGATTCATTCAACATTTGGTATTAAAAATTTTGCAACCTAAACAATAGATATTCATAAAGTAGTTGTTGGGGCAAGGTGTAGCAAAATGATTTCTCTTGAGAAAAGCCCTTCTACTCCTTTTCTGAGTGATCAGGAAAGGTTATTTTTCAAAAAAATTATTTTTATTCCTCCATACGTTTTCTTCTATGTTATTCAAGCATTCAGAATCAGAATTTAAAAGGCAATTGGTAGCTTTTCTTTGTTTAGGTTTTATGTCTTAGCTCTGGGATGTACTTCACAATAAGATGATGTCTCTCTTTTAGTTGCACCCTTTACTGAAGAGCATCCA